CGTTTCAAAAGTACCGGTTTGGTACTGGTATCGGATAAAACCTAAATGATACCCATCCCTACAGTTAAATACTGTGGCAACACGACAAACCTCGTTAAAAAAACAATGGGGAGCCGCTCTCACTCAATGGGAGTTGGCTCTTCTGATTCACTACACTGTTATGATTTAATCTTTGTTTTCTGAGTTACCTTTGTTGCAGCTGCTCCAGTCCCTTGATTGAAGAGGCAAGAGATGGAAAAGGGGCAGAGCGAGCTTATAACATAAAGCAAAATTAAACCAAAACATAAGAAACTCAAAATGCTGGGTCAACACCGACCCAGAACCGTAACAATTCTTTTCTTGTCCTTGCCTAAGTGTGCTTGCTTTTTTTTTTTGGTGGTTTTAATTTCAAGTTACTCATTGCTTTCAAAGTAACTAGTTACCAGGGAAAGTAACTTTGGTTTTACTCAGAATTCTTCTATAATTGTGTTGCTTCCCTAACTGGATACCAGCAAGGATGCCAGTCTTCTAGCTTGCTTACATGTTAGCACTATCCTGCCACAAGTGCACTGTGCCACCTAATGGCCTGAACCTAGAATGGCAGTGTAGTAGTGTGAGTGCAAGTTAATGATGAAATGAATGAAACTAAATTTGAAATTAACAATGTTTGTTTTATGTGTCACTTTTTATTTGTCTGTTTTAATCGATTTCTATTGTTTCAAACCGCTATAAATGCAAACACATCATTTTGGGGTTGATGCAGCAGTGTTATAAATCTAATCATTGTACATAGTATCACTAGGAAGAAGCAGTGGATCACAAAACACCACATACAGTGTGTTGAAACTTTTGAAAAGTATATTTATTTTTGCCATTGAAATGGGTAGAAAGTTTACTTTTAGCAGTGCCAACATTAAACTGTGCCTCAGACCATTTAGGAGCTGTAGGTATCAAAATAGTGCAAAAATGGTTCAACGTGAACACAGTGAGGTTTGTCCATTCTGTGTAAGCTGAACTGCACCAACTGCAGACCTCGTGTTCAGTAATGATGGGCAAACAAATTATGGCAATAAATGTAGTTTACTGATTTGAGATAACCTGCACATGATACTTGTCTTGCTGATGCTGAATGCTTTATTACTCTCAAGATAGAATTGTTTACCAGTGTGAAGTTTGATTTCACTTCCAGATCTTGTTTTCCAGGTTATGATGGTGTGTATGCAGGCTCCTAGCAGAGCCAGGTTTTGAGGAAACTTAGTATGCAAAACACACTAACATTTTTTATTGCAGTGTTATAGGTCCGGGGTGGTGCTGCTCCAGAGGAGGAGATGCCTTAATGTTGCCTGGGACATGCTCTGGCTAACCTTTTTCTTTAAGACAGGAATCTAGGGTTGATGAGTTGACTCATGGGAGTGTCCATGCATCAAGAGGAGGGGTCCAGAATTACATGAAACTATGTTTTCTATGTTTTCTAAATTATGATTTTTGCAGTGATTTGTGTGATTAGCAGTTATTTTATGGGTATTAAACCTATGCAAAGTGTTGTATCCATGTTCAGATGAGGCTTTGATGGCCTATAAGTGAAGTTCACTGAACTAAAGAATGTGGTTTGATGATTGTTGACATGCTTTCCAAATAGAAGTTTTCCTCCTAGCAAGGAAATACAGGTGCAGCAGTCAGAGTATTGCTGAAAGGAATCTCCTGAGAAATCTTCAAGCCCCAGTGAGAAGCAAGAACCATTCCAGCCATAGCTGACAGCCCAGGCAGTGGTTGAGGTCAAAGGTTGAGCTGGTTGGGGCCCATCATGAGATCAGATTCCGGAGCAACAGCAAGGACCACGAAGCTGCGTTGGAATGAGAGCTGTGCCAGGGGGCTTTCCAGAGGCCAACAGAGGAGATTGTGGACAACAGATGAGCACCTGAAGGATGAGGGGAGCGTGCCACACTCCATCGACAGCGCAGAGGGAGTTCGAGGATGGCATCATGATTCTGTGAAAAGCACAGGAACCAGAAGCTATGGTGGTGACGGCAGCAATTTCCTATGAACATTACTAATGCTGTGTCACTGTACTATGCATACGATGACACTCTGAAGACTGCTGGGATCATAACAGCAGTAAGATGACTGGATCCAGCACCCTTTCCACAGAGGATTTTTCCTGGAGAGGATGGACAACTGAGGAGTCATAAGTATACCCCACAAAATAAAGGCCTGAAGTGAGGTGATGGGGGTTGATAAAGGCCATAAAACAGGAGTGCTCATGAGGCCTGAGGCCTGGAGCTTTCAAGATAGCTGAGACCCATGTTGACAAACAACAAAACCACCTGGTATGTTTGAATGTCATTCTACATACATTTGGACTCTGGTCCTGTGGACAGTGATGGGAACAACTGGAAGGGACATCTACGAGGCACTGCAGAACTTAACTGCTCTGCAGAAATATGTGGCGGACCACACATCAGGAGGGGACGCGTCACAAGGCTGGATAGCCTGGTTGACATCTGGACCATGGTGGAATATGTTCTTAAAGTTTTGACTCCCATTCTTACATTGTTGGCATTGTTTTGCTTGGTTATAGGTTGCATCCTGCCATGTGTAAGATTGATGGTGAATAAAATGATTGCTAACACCTTTACCAACTACATATTGTTGCAGCAGAGTGACATGGATGCTAAGGCTAATGTGTGTGTATGAAATGAAGCCTGCACTGAAAATGTTGACAAGTGGTGTAGAGCTGAAGATATATACGCCGTATAGCCTTAAAAAATGACAAAAGATCAGGGGTGGGCAACTCCAGACCTCGAGGGCCGGTGTCCTGCAGGTTTTAGATGTGTCCTTGATAAAACACAGCTGATTCAAATGGCTAAATTACCTCCTCAACATGTCTTGAAGTTCTCCAGGGGTAATGAACTAATCATTTGATTCAGGTGTGTTGACGCACGGTGAGATCTAAAACCTGCAGGACACCGGCACTCGAGGCCTGGCGCTGCCTACCCCTGGTTTAGATGAACTGCTGGACTTACAGACCAGCAGGTTTAGGGAAGTCATTTATGGGGTCACACACTGATATTATGGGGTCACACACTGACCCCCCACACATACACACATACTTACACAATGCACAGGCAAGGTACTCTTTGTGTGTATGTATACGTCATATGTTAATGAACCTATGTATGTTCATGTGAGCTCAATAAAAGAACAATGTTTTGGGGAAGCGGACGAGAGCGACTGGGGTCAAGTGAAGGAACGTCGCTTGTCGTAGTTCTCTCCCTCATGCATGAGTAACACGAAGAACTTTGCCTACTTGTGTCTTGCTTTTGCTGTGTAATCAAATTGTCCTTAACGTTCCAGCGAATAAGTTTACGCTACAAACCTATCATTAATATTTCTAACTTGTATAATTTTGACAGGATATAGTTTTATGAAGAGCAAAATATTTAAAGTTAAAGTTTATTTTTTTAAGTTTATTTAATCTGGAATAATATTCCTGTCTGTTTTTATTCATATTTATGTTTAAAAAACATTGTTTTGCTGTGTTCAATAAATGTTTATCTTGTTTGGCCCCCGACCTAAAGCGTGCCTTGAGTTTTGGCCCCCTGTGCAATTGAGTTTGACACCCCTGTTTTAAACCCTTTGGAGAGAATGAAATGTAAGTCGTCCTTTCTTTATCCAGGATTCAAATGTTTTTAGGGAAAAAGTCTCATCATATGTGCACCATCTGAAAGTTTCAGCATAATTTGTATTTTATATAATTTGACAACTTTCTGCCATAATTTCAATGTAAAACTTTTCCAGTTCAATTTTATGTCTAATTTGTCTGCAGGAAATCCATCTGCAATAACTGCTTGAAGTGTAATATTGGTGCATAATTCAAATTCAGATTTTTTCCATTATCCTTGTAGTCTTTGTTGTCCTGCAAGGTAGTAGTTTCTTAAGCATGGTAGAGCCATCCCTCCTCTTTCTTATCCTTGCTGCAGAACACTGAAATGATTCTAGGTTTCATAACCTGCCAGATGAATTAGGAAATCTATTTGTCCCACTCTGTAAACTCATTATCACTTACTTCTACCGACAGTGTTCAAAAATATATAAAAGATAATATATAAAAGACGAGGAAGGATATTCATCTTCATTTTTAAATAGTATAAGGTTCTGTCTTTGAGAGTTTAAGTTTAAATAATCAGCAATTATATCAGATACAATGTCAGGCACATACCACAATGTGCCCGTGCACATTGTGCAAAAATATCATTTTGCACAATTATAAGTGAGGGTGGAAGATGATCGTAACAGATGGCAGAGAGAGGGGAATCTTTCCCTGACATTTGCATGCTTTTTTCAAACAAACATGATCGACATAAACTTGTGCAGCTATTCGCTGTGAATGGCAGGTGTGGCCATTCATTCCTTTGAGGCACTGCTTCGCTTTTTCTGTCATTTCCACATAAATTCTATGTTTACTTTAAAATTCCCTGTTATTGATGTGAGTTAATGTGAGTCTTAAAGTGTCTGACCTGAACCACAATGTTAGAAAGTTGTGTCCAAAAGAGCAAAGTAAAAATTGTTTTAAAAAATACTCAGTCAGTGAAAATAGCTGACAGTGATATGACCCGTACCACATACAGGAGAAGACCCACAACATTGTCAAACTCATTTCTTTTTAACAAAACAAGCCAGAGATGTTTCAGTGTGAGAATAAAACCTGAAGTCTTTCCAATTCTGTATTTATGTTTACAGCCTTACATGCAAATTCTTACATACAAAGCAAAATTTTTACATTTAATTTTAAATCTTTACCAAGGACATAATAAAAATGCAAAGGCATAATTTACAGTGGTTCCCAGCATTAAGCACCACTTAATGATCAAAATAACAAAGAAGGTAGAAAAACAAATGTCTTTTTGGTTCATCAGGCTGAGAGTGAGAATGACTTGAAGGGATTTCCCAGTTATGTACAAGAATTACAGATCATTCCATCATCATTTTTTTTCTAAAATGTATCTTGAATAAAAACACTTTTGATAACAAAACAAATACATGCTAACTTGTTTTGACTAAATATGATGATGTGGGAACTTTCAGGCTAAATATCTTTAGCCTGAGTCTCAGGTGTGTCAAACATATCGCTCACTCTACCCACTGTCTGCCACACTGCACCGAAGTAAGGGACAGATAAAGCATTAAAGGATGAACTGCTGAAATGAATAACAGAAGATTGACATTAGTTTTTGATACCATTAAACAAAAGCATCTTGGTGTCTTTCATAGTGGGCACAAAAACATTTCTGTAAATTAATAGAAATTGTTGATCATTTTGATTATGGAGCAAAGCACAGAAAAAGAACTCCCAGTACTGTCTCTGTATTTTATTTTTTATATTTATTTAAAGTATAAGCTCAGTAGATTTCTTTGTAATGACATTAGATTGGCTGACTGTGGAAAAACACCACAGGCTGCTCAGCGCAGGTTTCATACATGAAGAAGAAGACATTTTAAATTGTGGCAGTCTTTGTTTTATTAAGCAAACATTTTAGTTTTAATGGTCTAACACACAAAAGGGCTGTTTGTGACACTTGAACTGAACACCTGCTGTAACCTGACTGGACTTGACACCAGCTGTTCCTGCTCCTCCTTGTCATCTGTCTGTGCTGCAGTCAGAGCCTTTGACGATTCATCGGGATTCAGTCAGGATGAGAGTATACCTAATGAAGAGAGATGAAATGCTCAGACTGAAACAGCTTCACTCATAAAACATGTGCATGTATTTCATAATAAGTCATTTGCTGAGTGGCATTTGCTCCAACTCCAATAATGCAAATAAACAAACCTCAGTCATCTCTACAGGTTCATTTGGTTCAGTTTTTAAGATGATGCGCGTCTTCCTCCTGGATATAATAAAAAAAAACAACAAAAAAAAACTTTAGCATAAATGTTATGAACTTTCAACTTTCAAGCTAAGGGTCTAATGGGAAAATAAAAGAGGGGTAAAGTGTTTGTATTGTTTTACCTCGTCAACAGACTCAAGACAAGCAGAGTAATCAGGATCAGGACCACCAGAGTCAGCCTGATGATATTCATGATTATTATTTTGGATTTCCCTAAAACAGAGACAAATACATGGCAGAGATTTCTCAGCAGTAAGATTAGATTGTTTGCCAGGTGATGCTATTAGTTATTTATTGTCATAATCCACTCATACAAACGTTTTTCCTTTAAAATGAATGAATAAATAACTATTTATCTTATCTCCAGCTGAACATATCTAAAACATTTTAGGAAACAACAAAATGGGCATGGAGTCACTTTAATTAAAGGTCAGAAAATAGAGCAAGTACAATCATATAAATATCTTGGGACCATAAT